TTTGTACATATGTGAAAAATAAAAAAAACATTAACAATGACAAACACATAGTACTAAAACTTTAAAATGTAAATGAAAACTGTAAATTTAAAAAACTAAAAATATTTATGAATATTCAAAATATGAATAAAACTAATTAATAATAGTATACCAGTGATACTTAAATGACACTGAATGTTTATCAAAAAATTGCCACATAGCACTTCATCAAATATCAAATACTGATATATGTTGACCCATATATAGAAGGTGCACCAAGAAAAGAGTAGTTTTTACAAATATTTTAAAACGTAAAATAATGTACGCTATTATCAGAAAAACTGCTTTACTACAAGAGAGGTTGCCCAATGGAGGCTGCCATGTTGAGATCACATGACCAGATAAACTTATTTTTATCTCAGTAACCCCCCTTTGATTGGACAGTTTCAGTTGTGGAACAGATTGATGGATAAAAACATCTGCATAATACCTAAGGTAGAAGGATAAAATGAAAGGAGGAGCAAGGACTACTCTTAACACAAGACATGAAAGACTAACAACAATTTATGCAAATGTCGAGCTTCCATCTAGACATTAGACTATTACTGTGGCATCATACAATTACCCTCAGCAGCCCGAAAAAATACAAATTTTAGGTTTAGATGTCGGTCAGACAGCCTCTTCCTGAATAAGCAGTTGGTATTTAGCCAAAATATCACTCATAATTACACTGCTTTTCTTTGCTTTTCAAAGACATGCTTAGTGCAAAATTTACCTTTACGCATCTCATTTAATCAAAACATCAAGCATATCTTTCCAAGAACACATTTATTTGCACTATTCCAGGCAGCACAGCACTGTTATACAACAGAGTTAATACAACAGTTAAATTAATTCAACACCAAAAAATTAAATATATTAAACAAATTACATTTTGTAACTCAAATATGACATTAAATTAATTAATTTTCATGAATTTGAGTTTTATGTTCAACTAGCCTAGTCAGCTAGTTATTAGAAATAAACGCAAAAAAAAAGAGACCTAACTGAGCAACCAGACGGATCATTTTTAAACGGATGCACTGGAAATTACATTTCTTTGTTCCTGGTAATATTTAGGACACGTTATCATTGTAATAGTATCGATATTTATTGATATATAATGTTAGAGACTGACGCTTAGCTAGCACAAAGCCTCTAGCTAAACTTCAAGGGGTCCTATTATGCTTTTTCACTTTTTCAACTTTAGTCTGTAATGTTGCTGTTTGAGCATAAAAAAGATCTGCAAAGTTACAAAGCTCAAAGTCCAATTCAAAAGGAGATATTTTATTTAACAGAAATCACTTTTCAAAAACTACAACGAACAGTTTGTAGTCTCGTTTGGACTACAACGCATATTTTCCGGGATTTGTGATATCACAAATATCGACGAATGGGACGAGACCTGTAGACTGTATAAAAACATGGATGTAGTGTCTGTGACGTCACACGTAGGTTTCTGAAGAGCGTTTTTGAAGCTCAAAATTGGGTGGAGCCGGCCGTCGCCATCTTGGCACCGCATGCGCGCCGGTTCTAGTTGTTTATTCACAGGTTTATGGGTTTACTGTTTTACTGTGTACTGTGTACTGTGTAAAATAAATAAGTATATCTATATAAATAATACAGTATAATTTTTGACGTGTTTGGATTGTTTGTGTTGCATATAAGCGAGTTTTATTAGGCTATCTAATTTAAGATGCTTACCTATCTAATAAATAAATAATAAAGAGCTACTCTGCAAAAACGAACACATGTTTGAAACAATAAAACCACTTAGCCTATACCTATCTCCACTATGAAAGATATGCGCCAAGGTACTAATTTAGTCAAAATATAATAATTGATATGGGCATATGCAACATGTCAGCCAATGCTGATTTTTGTCCGACTGTTATTTTAGTATCACCGAAACACAAGTTTTTATTAGGCCTATAATTTTGAATCAGTTTCTATTTTTATATTTTCCTCTTTAATGTTAATTTTACTTAGTTTTTGTATGTTTTTTTAAATATACAGTAGTTTTTGTTCATTTTGATTTCAGTTTTAGTTTTAGCTATTTTAGTAGGCCTACATGAAGTTAAAGGTGATGCGATTTGAATTTTTCCTTACTCTTTGGAGTGTTACAAGCTCTTTGTGCATAAATAAGATCTGTAAAGTTGCAAAGACTAAAGTCTCAAATCCAAAGAGATGTTCTTTATAAAAGTTAGTTAAATACATAAAGGATATTTTTGTTGTTTAACATATTTAAAGGGGTCATATGATGCGATTTGAATTTTTCCTTACTCTTTGGAGTGTTACAAGCTCTTTGTGCATAAATAAGATCTGTAAAGTGGCAAAGACTAAAGTCTAAAATCCAAAGAGATATTCTTTATAAAAGGTTAGAGTCAGACACACCTACCTAAAACAGCTCATTCCAACACGCCCCCACATGTCTACCTCACTATGTGGGAAGATTTGCATAATGCCGCCCAAATGTTCACGCAAAGAAAGAAGGCGTAACTTTTATTCTCGCTGTAGTATTGTTGCCGCCGCCATGTCGTAAAGATGCTGTGTGATTCATTGTGAAAGCGAAACTACTTTGTTTGGTCTTCCAAAAGAGGACACGACTAGAAATCAGTGGTTAAGTTGTATTTACAACACTGTTCCAGAACACTTCAACCAAAATATTCAGATGTGTGCAGCATATTTTATGGAGGACCGTTTCCTGATCCTGGTAAAGTAGACTACAATGCCGGCTGTTCTGACTCACAGTCTGTAAGTAAGTTTTTAAAGAGAAATGCTATTTTTATTTTATTTTATTTGAGATGGCGTTTACTTTATTTCATAACGATGTTTTTTTTTGTTTGTTTCAGTCTGTTTTTAGTCAACTGTAATAAATCTACTGTTAATTTCACATACATTGAAATGCCAAACAACAACAACCAAATCTAAATCTAGATTAAATTATAATGATGCCAGAAATGTCTAGAACGTGGGGCATTGTAAATAAGTAGATATATTTTTTTCGCGTAAGTAGTTTGGCATATCATTCAGATATGTTTGAATGTTGCTGCAAAAAAGATACAACATCTGACAAACAAATGATGCTTGAATATTTCTCCAGCTGTACACCAGATGGCGCTGTAACGATTTAGATTATTTACCCGCCCACCGCCAAACTGCAGAAGAAGAAGAAGAATTAGGGAAGGACGTCGCACATAAACAGAAGAAGGGATGCCCACTTCTTAGTGCACTTATTGCTATTCTGCTGAGCAGAATGATTTAGAAGTGCCTTCACCCGTTCATAGCCCATGCCTGATATTTATAGAGCGAGTCTCAGACAGCTGTGTGCTGTAAGTATGGTGTTTATGAAGCTAATATCAGCTCAGATGTCTAATATTAATGGCCCTGGAGTGCAGCAGCCAGTGCTACATGTTTAAACTGATTGATAATAATCACATTCATGAGCTCTAGAGCTTCTAAACACTTTTATTGTGATTATTGTTTCTAATATTTAAGATGTTAGCTCGTGCTTGGTGTTTGATGTACTGTGTGTTTGAACAGTAGCAGTTTGGATTGTTATCTTTTTAAGATGGGCATATCATTTTTTTAAACAGTCTTACAAAAATAGCAATCTTATGTGAATGAGGCTTTTGAGGACGTTTAATGTTATTCTGAAATATTTCACTGCTTTTGTCACTGCTGTTCACTTACAGTGAAGTAAACAAGTCTAGTTTCTGAATTAAATTAGCAAGAATGATAATTATGGAAGACCGAAAGATTCCCAAGCTGAGTTGCTTGGAAAGATTTCAATTTTGCATATGAAATTGGTTTGTAAAAACAAATGATGAACTTAAAGTATCTGGGCTGGCAGTGTCACAACGAATCTTCTTCTTTTTCTTAGTATTGCTGGTATTATTAGTAGTATTATTTTGTTAGAACACTGTGTCTTTTTAAACATCAAACTGCAAAGAAGTATGTACATTGTTGCAGATTATATCTGTGTATTTCGTTTAATTTATTTATTCATGAAAATCACACACACACACACACACACACACACATATACAGTGGGTACGGA